CCTACTTTCAAAATAAATGCAGCTTGCAGGGTATAAGACTCTCTCCTACTTGGTCTGATCCCAAAGGTGAAAGTTAATGAGATTCCTTTTGAGCTGAGTCTCATGCTTTAAGTGTGCTCAGGTCAGAAGTCCTCAAGAGAAGGCTCTGGGGAAACCTCAGGGCAGCCTTTCAGTACTTCAAGAAGGCCTCTAAAAAAAGATGAGGACAGTGTTTGTAGCAGGGCCTTTGGCAACAGAACAAGGGGAGATGATTTCAAACTGCAAGAGGGGTGATGGAGACTAGACCTAGACCCTGCCAATGAGGGTGGTGAGACACTTGCCCAGGTTGCCCAAAGAGATTGTAGGTGCTCCATCCCTGGGAACGTTCCAGGCCAGGTTGGATGGGACCCTGAGCAACCTGCTGTAGTTGCACATGTCCTTGATGACTGCAGAGGGGTTGGATTAGATGACCTTGAAAGGTCCCTTCCAACCCAAACTACTCCATTTCTACTTGGAGCAGTCTTAATTCTCCATGGGATGATTATTTCTGTATGTGGAGAGAGAAACAAACATCATAAGACTTTGGGAGTACCCTAACTCACAGCCTTGGGTTTTGTGGCTCATCTGCCAAGCTTTACTTGCTGCTGTGGCTGCAGGATGCTGGGCAGGAGACCCACGTTGGCCAGGACTGGCCTCAGTGGCTGGACCATGCTCTTTTTGTGTTGGTTACTGAATTGGGTCTAGAGTGGTGAGAGCTGGGCAAAGAAATGGCTTGTGAACTGTGCCTGCTCTGGGAGCAGTGCTGGTGGTGGGCAGGGAAATGCCCTCTCCACCCCAGGCAGCACTTGGAAGCACTCACCTTGAACAACATGATTAATGTTCCTGCAGGTGCCCCGGGCATTGGTTCCATCTCCAAAGGTCACTCTTTAAATAGGCCAGTGTAGCATTCAAGTAGCCCATCAGAGCCTGAGGAGCAGAGGACAGGCATCATGTGCTTCTTGGCAGCCTTGTGACTCTGGGTGTAGCTCCCCACACACCCTTAGCTCTGTGTGCACGAGGTGAGTCCCTAGCTTGACACCAGGCAAAAATCCAGAGCTGTCTGATGGCCAACTCTTTGTGTGCCATGGGTGTTCTGCTGGGGTCTAGCTCTCCATTCAGCTCCTTGGTGGAAGTGAGCAAACCCAGGGCTTTAAGAGACTCTACAGGTTATGCCACCCAAAGGTGGGATTTGAGGGAGCAGGAGGATGGTTCTTGATTCAGATGATTCAGTCCAAATCAAAACTCTTAGAACAGGGGAAAAAAAAACCCAAACAATGTTTTTACTGGAAAGTGTTGGATGCCTTTTAAATTCATTACTCCTCTCCTCATCTTCCCACCTTCTACTTCCAAGAGTCAAGGAAGCACAGCAGTAATGAGCTCTGCTATTTTCAGTCAAATAAAAGGTGGTTTTGTTTAAACAAAAAGCTGTTTAAGGGTAAAACAAAAAGTGTAAAAGGCATCTAACCGTGGCCAAAATGACCCACTCAGATTTCCTCACTTCTCTTTGCTGTGACTGGTGGGGAAAGGGCAGAAAGACCTGTAAGAAATGAGCAGCACTAGCTGTTCCTTCATGGCTGCATTCCTTCTGTCTGCAGACGGCTGCTGAAGAGTGAACTGGGATCCTTCATCACAGATTACTTTCAGGTAGTACAAGATTTGTTTGCTTTCTTGGGAGGTTTTGCTCTTTGCAGCTTTGGGAGTAATCCTATTTGTGGGGATATATAATAAATTAAGGCTAATAATATAATAAATCTGCCTTGGTGCTTAAGAAAAGCTGTTAGTAGCCTGAATTTTTAATGTAGATAGGATACTTTTTCATATATATTTATGTTTTTCCACCCTATTTCTCTAATATAAAGAATTCAGGAGTATTTTTTCTGCAGCAGGGCCCAGGAAAAGGGGAAGAGAAGAGCTAAGTGCTGTCTCTTCTGGAGGCAGGGGACTGGGGGGGAGGCAGAGAAGGAAGTCCCTATCAGCAGGATTTTTTTTTACGAAATCAATCTCAGGCTGTTTGCCTTTTAGTCCCACCAATGCAACCTGCCCAAAAAAAAAAAAAAGCCAAAGATGAAGGATGAGGGAAGACCTGACCAATAGCAAATGTGAATGAAGTGTTGTTGCCTTTTCCTGATACCATCCAGAGAGGCAGAGGTTCAAGTGGAACCACATGAAAGGGTGTTGGATGATTTTGAGGGAGCACTGCTGGCTGTTGGTGGGGTAAACTCTTCTGTGTGGTGTTGATTAAAAAGGAGGAGGAGGCTGCTGGAAACAAGAGGGTTTTCCTCCCCTTGAGTAAGAGAGAGAGAAAGGGGGAGAGAAAATTTCAGTACTTTCTGAAGTGGCTGATGCTGCTGGGTAATGAACAGCTTAGAAAGGGGAAAAAAAGAAGACTGGTGTTGTTTCCTACCAGTATTAGATTACATGACTTAAAAAAAATCCCCCATGCTGTGTTATCAAGCAATAAGCAGCCTCCTGCCTCAGGGGTAGCTTCATTTCACTTCCTCAGAGCCTCTCTGCACAAGTTATTTACTGGAAAGAGGTGGCTGCTGAATGCTGGAAGGTTTTCCTAGACCACGAGTGAGGTCTGGTGGCAACCCAGCAGCAAAGCTGTGAGCACACAGCACAGGGCACTTGGCTTCAGTGGAAACCTGCTCCTGCTTCTCCTGACTTCAGAACAAGCAACTGGAAGGCTGCAGTCAAATCCACGTGGTCAGTTGGAAGGTGAAAGGTCTTGGTCAGGTCCCTGGGTGTTGTGTTGGTGGGTGTGATGTGCAGAGCTGGGATGATCAGAAAACAGCCACAGGCAACTTCATGCACCCAGAAGTGTGAACAGAGCGTGGTCCCAGTGTGAGGTGCTGCTGGGTGACTGTTCTCTGCCTTGGGAAGGTCAGAGTGGGAGAAGGACCTGATCAGCAGCACCCTTTTCTGCAAAAGCAGGAGCAAACCTTGGGCTCTTCCACTCCAATGATGGAGACAGAACTTCAGGCACAGTGTGAGGCAGTGAGAAGTTACCCCTCAGGTAAACCAGGCTGCTGATTTGGCTGAAAAATAACTTAGAAAGGAACAAAACAAGTCTTCCCTCAATTCCTTTGACTTGTGCTCATCACCTCTGATGTGGAGGAGGTGCTGGGAGTGGGTGACCAGGAAGGGGAGTGGAGGGAAGTGCATCTTTTGGCACTGACCTCCTGCTCCACCTGGCCAAGCCCCCTGAAAAACTCTCCCCAGAGCCACGTTTCCTGTTCTCAGGCTAAAACAGATCCTGAAGGATCTGCTCTGCTCTGTAACCAGGCAGTCTGAGATGACCATCAACAATTAAACCAGCTAGCTGGATCAGGGGATATTTAAATGTGACAAATGGACTGAAATATTTCCATTTTTTATGCCACAACACTTGTGACAGGAGCCACTAAGATCATTTTTAAAATCACATTTCCTGCTGTTTTAGGAGTTGTGGCTGTTATGTGTCTTTTAAACATGTGTTATGTGTTGTAGGCACGTGTTAACATGTGTTATTACATGTCTTTTAGAGAAACACACACAATTTTTCTAACCACTGAATATTTAAGACTCAGGGCTGAGCTTTTCTAGTGAGACAAATCAACCACTGTCATCACCTCACGAGTCCTTTTCACCAGCACTTGTGCAGATGACCAGTTTGTGGCTCCTGAAGTTGCTGAAGGACTGTTTAGGGTAGGGATGGAGCTGGGACAAGCTTTCTCTGCTACCAAACCCATCATCCCAGCAGAGTTTTACCCACTCTGGGTTGTGTTGGAGAGAGAAATGTAATTCCTCCAAGTGTTGGGGTGGAATGTTTCATTCTGAAGGAGATTTATGTTTAGAAATCTGCTGCTTTAGCAACACTGTTCCATACACAAGCCATCCTCTTGGGTCAGAGTCTGAGGGTAATCTCCAGAGAGTTGGGTCTTGTAATATTTGCTGTGCTTTGCTGCATTCAGGGCAATGCTTCATGCTCCAGGTTTTCCAATCCTGGCTTTGCCCAGTAAAATTTGGTGGAAATTTTTGGAATATACCACCAGTGAGTGGTGATAAATGGATGCCTCATCTCTGTGCTTCTGCAGACAGCTTGAAACAAACCTTTGGAAAGGATGAAGTGTCTCTTTTCACTCGCTGGGGGCTTGTTCATCTTGAAACTCAGGGGGGGAAATTAGCAGTGGTAACTCTTCCACAGCTCACCACTTCAGCAGAACTAAAGCTGATGTTTTAAAGACTGGTTTATGCATCTTAGCTCCAAACTTGGCTCCTCCTGAGATGGAGAGACCTGCTCCCTCCCCAGGCACTGGAACCTCTCCCAGCACCACTGATGGAGAGAGCCAGAAGCTCTGAGTTGATGCCTTTCCAGCCTGATGTTCACTCTCCAGGCTGGCAGAGCTGTGTGGCAAGTGGACTGTGTTTCCTCCTTTAATCCCATGAGAGCTTTGATGTCTTCAAACCAGCAGAGAAGCTGTTACATAATTTGTAGCCTGCTGCAGTGGAGAACCACGGGAGGAGACAAGTCCTGACTCAGAATCAGGCCTAGCTTTCTGTCTGCAAAACCATAGAAACCACAATGTGCAAGCACCCATCTTGCTGGGGTGTGGAGCCAAGTCAGAAGAGCAAGGTGATAACACAGAGCTGTGAAAAGCAGCAGCAGCAGTGCTGAGGCAAGCCTGGATCCAAGCCAGGATGGATCTTCTCCTCTCACTGTAGGGGTCAGAAGTGGGGCTGGTGAACCTTCACATGGTCAGGGTTGCTCTCAGGTGGTGGTGTGAGGTGGGGACACACCTTCAAGTCCCTGCTGCTTGTCCTCCTAGGACTCCAGGCTATCCAGCAGCCCTTGTGATGCTTGCTCTCCTTTGGAAGGCTGCCTGGTAAAGCCATGCTGACAGCAGGAGGTGCCACATGCCCCTCTCTCCTGCTTGCTCCAACAGGAAAGCCTCATGCAGGTGACATTTCTTTCCTTGGTGGCAGGTTTCTACTTGGACCTGCTTTGCAGCCAGGCATGGAGATAGTTGTGCAGGGTGGTGGTTGAGTCAGCTGGGTAGAGGCAGCACTAGCTCTTCTCTGGCCAAGTGCTGTCTGGTACCTCTGCCAGGGGCTGCAGCAGCTCTGCTGCTGTGAGAGGGCAGAGAATTCACACACGTGTGGTTTGCAGAGCTCAGCTGTGTGTCTGCAGAGCTCTTTTGGGTCAAGCTGGTCTTCATCACTTGTTTTTCTCTCCTTGCTGGCTGGGAACCTCTACTCGTGTAGGTCTGCTGATTATTTCTGCTTCATCTGGCACTTTCTAGGACTGGGTTTTCATGGAGCAGCTCCAGAGACTGCATAGCAACTACCCAGCTCTGCTAGCCTGGGTGGTGTCACCCAGCAGCTCAGCCCCATCACCAGGAGCTGAGCAGAGGACCTGGTCTTTGGGAGCAATGCTCCAAACCCTGCCTGGTTGCTTCTGCTGAAGCTGGAGCCTGGGGTGAGAGGCCCTGCCCTGATTCAGCAAAGCTCCTGCCCCCAGTGGTGACTTCCCAGTGCAGAGCTGGGGGGAACGTGGGATTTTCCCAGAGCTGCTGCCTTGTGGTCTGGATGACAGCAGAGCTGCCTACTTGCTCTGCCTGGGCTGCTCTCCTTCTTACTCTCCCTGCCTTGCCTGATCTTTTTAAGTGGGCTTTCTATTTTTATCTATTTTGAGCAAAGCTGCCTCTAGAAGACTCATCTCAGGATGTTATTTCATGTTTGTCTTTCCATTTTTTCTCCATGGGGGATCAAAATGATCTCTCTGCTTCTGTCACCATCTCCCCTCTTTCTAGAGGGGGGGAAAAGAGGGATGCTCCAGGTCCAAAATGCTGCAGCTCACACAAATCTGTGTTTTGTAAACCACTGCCCAGAAGGAGGTGGGTGTTTGTGTGCAACTGGCAGCTAACTTTGTAAAAACAAGTTGCCAGGTAAGTTTGGGGGGTGGTTTTGTTCTCAGATGAACATCACATTGTCCAAGAAATGGTGGCTGTGCACCTCTAAAAGTGTGATGTGGTGCTGGAACATAAATGCAGCCCCCTCTTCTCAATTTCCCTCACAGAGGAGGGGAAGGGGAAATATCTGTGCCAGGAAAAAGAAGGAAAAATGAAAAGTGATTTTTTTTTTATGGAGCTTTGAATCTTGTCTTGCAAAACTCAAGGCATTTGGAAAATTACTTCAAGGCTTTCTCTTGGATGGACTCTTCAGTGGCATACCTGGAACACCCCTGGTGGTTTTCTGCCCTGAGAAAAGAAGCAGGGGGGTTCAACCTGTGAGAATTCACAAGCTGCCTTCTCTCTGCTGCCAAATCTCTCTCTCTCTCTCTCCAAATTTCTTGACTGCCTGCAGGGGGTTAACTCAGAGCTTTGTTTCTCTTCAGTGCTTCCAGCAGAGTCAGGGCAGGTTTGCAGCACCCACCCTGAGCCCCTGGTGGTGAGGACATCACCCTGGGCATCCAGGGAAAGCTGATTTTGGGGATGGAATGACCAACTGCTTCCCCAAGCACCCAATTCAGGCAGAAGGTGGCAGCTGAGCTTCTCCAGATCAATGCACCCTCAAGCCCACTTGGTGTGAGCCTTGATCTGCTCTTGCTTTTGCAAAGAAAAGGTTTATTCTTCCTCCAGGCTGGGTGCCTCTGTGTTGCTTCTGGCAACCAAGGGTGGAGCAGTAAAATGAGAGCTGTGATCTGATGCAGATCCTGCTGCTGCATTTATTAGATTATATTGATTTGGCAGGAAACCCTGTAGGGTTTTTTTTTAATCAAAATTTACCTGTCTGCCTTGATCTGAGGGGGTGGTGTTTGGGTTGGATCCTCTTCTAAGCCAGTGACTGTAGCAGAAAAGAGAGATAAGGAAAATTTCCAGCTATTTTTAAGGTAAGGAGAAGGGAAATGAGCTGTGGTTGCTTGTTTTGTTGCTGTTTTGGTTTTTTATTATTTAAAGTCTCCCACTTCCACAGGGAAAGGGAAAATCTGGGAGGATGGTTGAAACATCGGGAGTGACTACATTGACCTAAGCTGGATTTTTTTTTAAGAAACCTTAAGAATGAGATGATGCAATCTGTTTAGCACATGGAATTACTGATAATACATTCATGAGAGCATTATCAATTCTTGACTACAGGGTAATGATTAATAGATCTGTTTTTAATGGATAGGAACGTGCTTCCCATAAAAGTGCACAAATGCACAGTTTGTTTGCTGACATAGCTGTAAAATAATAATAAAAACCCCATCTCTGAAAGTAGAAAGCATCAGTAATACTCACTTATAAGCAAAGTAGCTAGAAAATTGTGTCCAGAGTGCTCAGGAAGTGTATGTAAATGAAAACCTAATGTTCTAGTGCAGATAGAGAAGGATTTTTTCTTGTTCTCTCAAAAAATACAGTAAGTGTGACACCCCCATATATGTGTGTATATAGTACTCTATATAAAGAGTTTAAAATGACACAGTATTAAAGCCTAGCTGTAAATTTTCCCTGCAGTAAATGAGAAATAATTACCTGGAGCTATAGGTTGCAAAATAACGAAGTACTTCATTAATAAACTGAAAGCATTTGGAAGGCTTAAAATGCAGAATGAAATCATTATTTTATTGTTCAGGCAGAAAAATATTCACTTTTTCCCCCCTCCTATTTTTTTCCCATTCCAGAATTCTTCTTCTTTCCTTTTTCACATTGTTTTTTTCCTGGAAAGTCTTTTGTTGTTGTTGTCACCCAGAGCCTGACAGATGCACTCATTTATTTCTGCTAGGAAAGGTCAAACTCTTGTGACTGGGATGGGAGGTTCAGATAATACTGTTCCACTCCCATGTCTCTCTCCTAACACACTGGTTTTGTTGTGTAATTAATTGAAAAAGAACCTAAATTCTGCATTATTTTGAGAGTAAATATTTCTGGGGTTGAATTGTGGGGGGGGGGAAAAAAAATGAGTGTGGAGCACTCAGAGTGAGAGCAGGTCTGGTGGTGGTGCTGGGAGAAAGTCCTACAGTGTGAGTAAGAGTTGGAGAACTGCATGTCAGGTGGGGAACATCTGCAAAACAACTGTTGGATGTTGATTTTCAACCTCAGAAAAGGCCAATGCATGTCTCTCTCCTCTCTTGGCAGAACCAGCTCCTGGCAAAAGGCTTGCTGTTCATAGAGGAGAAGGTGAAGCTGTGTGAAGGCAAGTAGAGCAAGAGGCTGCTTGTAGAAGGGGGTTCTGCTCTGCTGGTTGGTCAGATGAGGTGATTTGCACGTCTAGAAAGCACACAGCCCATTCTGGAGCTGTCTCAGGGTCACATCACCTTCCAGGAGCCAGGCTGCACCCAGGGGATGGTGAGAGCAGGGCCCTGAGTCTCCTGTGGCAGCTGAAGAGCTCAGAGCTGTTCTAGGCTGGACGTGGATCCTCCTGAGCTGCCTTCTGCCTTTTGTTTCTCAGTGCCACTTGCAGCTCAATGCAAGGTTCTTTTTTTTGGTTTTTTTGGGGGGGATTTTGGGTCCTCTGTCTTGCTTTTGAGAGCTGAGCTAACAAGCTGGGTGTCGATTCAAAGGAAAAAGTCACTTGGGTGGGAATGAAATCCTTAAGGAAAGAAGCTGATCCCCCCTGAAGTTCTGTTGAGAGTGCTGGGGTGCAGACACTTGGTTCTGCAGAGCCTGGGGCTGGAGGCCAGCCTGGCACAGCAGCTCTGGGTTGGCTGTGGGGTCAACCACAGCTATTGAGAGCTCTCAGTCAAGCAGAGAGAGCTCTGGAGCACACATCTTTATTCCAAAGCAGGCTGCTGTCTGGTCTGACCCACTTCTGTGGCCTGCATCAAGATCCCTTGCTAATCACCAGCCTGCTGTATCTGGGGCATTAAATGCCAACAGACACTTAACAGCTCTTCTCATTGTTGGTGCTGGATTCCTCTTCACCAAGTGACTTCTCCCCCTGCCCAGCAGGCTGGAGGGCTCAGACCCTGGAGGAGCTGTTGCCAACCTCCTGCTTGGTGCATCCTTTGGCACTGGCCCTGTAAGGGGAGAAAAGAGGCAGATTGGTGCATTTTCCTCAGTGTGGGTGCCCACCCTGCTGCTGCCAGCTCTGCAGGATGAGTGCTGTTGCAGCTCATCCTAGGTTTTGGTTTCTTCATGTGTATAAAATGATATAAACATAGTTATCTAAGCATTATGAAAAATTGAGTCCCAGTCTGAGAGCTGCCTGGGAGTCATTTGCAGCTGCTCAAAGTATTTTGTCCCCAGTTTGAAGTGGCACTGGGGCCACTTTGCCCCACAGGCTGGCATCTCTGCAGGGGCTGACTCATGGGTGCATCCTTCTCTCATCATGTGTAGGCTTGGGGCAGCTCTTGTGGTCCCAGCAAGGAGAACTTCTTGTAATTTGACTGTCCCACTACTCAGTCTTGGACTAACGTTCCTGCTGCAGGGCATGGCAATGTTTTATTCTATTTTTCAAATCCCAGCCTCTTCTTTTAACGTGCTTTTTCTTTATGCTGTCTGTCAGAAGCTCTTTCAATGCCTGGAGGGTTTGTTGTCTTGAAGAAACAAACCATTCCCCCTTCCCCTTCAGAAGGAGAAGAGATCAATGACATTTCTTTCTGGCTCCATGCACCAAAGCGTGGCAGTCCTGGGGAGGGAAGGGTCTGAACATGGACTTAGCCTCTTTCCTCTTGTCTTTTTCACTTTCCAGTTGGCAGTTTCTGGTAGTGGGCAGCTATGGGCAGCGTGTTGGGTAGGTCCTCATCTTCCTGCAGGTCCAGATTAGAAGCCAGTGTTGTACCTGAGGTGGTGAAGCCTCCCTCTGAACCCCCCTCTGCTTGTCAGTGATCTCTCTGCTCAAGAGGAACCCTCTGCAGGGTCTAGTCCTGCTCTCTGGCCATGTCCTGAGCAGCACAACCCATGGGCAAGCACAGGGGAAGCCTGTGTGGAAGCCTCCAGATAGGAAAGGCATTCAGTGCACAGTGCTAAGGCTCCTCTGAGTTGTAGTTTGACACATTCCAGTTCTAGTGACCTTGAGGGAGAGCCTTCAAAGCTGTCTTGAGCAGCTCTCTTCTTCTACTGCTTGTGCTCCAGCGTGGAGCTCTGTGGAAGGTACCCTGGAAATCTCCTTGGCCTGGGTCTGTACATGCACCTGAAGATTCTGGGGAATGGACCTAAAACTTGAAAAAAACCTTGCAAACCTTTGGGATGGGAGAGGTTGGGGCCAGCTGCTAAGGAGCACAGCTCTGTAAGCCAAGCCTATGAGCATAAATCATGTCTATGTGAATGATTACATTCAGGAAAGCATTTTGTTGGTTAATAATAGGCCTTGGACCACAGTTGTGTCCATCATGGGATTGACCAGTTGCATAATTTAGTCTGCCTTCCTTTTAAATCCAGAGTTCAGCTTTGGCTTAGCTGAGTGATGTCCAACCACAGTTGTGTCCATCATGGGATTGAGTCTGCCTTCCTTTTAAATCCAGATTTCAGCTTAGCTGAGTGATGTCCTTGGGATTGACCAGTTGCATAATTTAGTCTGCCTTCCTTTTAAATCCAGAGTTCAGCTTTGGCTTAGCTGAGTGATGTCCAGTTTGGGACAGAAACTGTGAATATGAAGGGTGGGTTTGTAGCTCTTCTTTGGGGAATTAGAGCAGTGGGGAAATGCAGCTTGATTTCAGAGTCCCTGCCACTAACCCTCTTGCCTCCCCTTGCTCTGTGTTCGTAGGTGAGGATCGCATGGATGTCCTGGCTGAAATCTGGGATCACTATTTTACAGAGACCCTTCCTACACTCCAGGCAATATTCTACCCAGTCCAGGTACTCCTAACTCCTCCTCCTCCAGTCCTCAGGCAGGGGAGGCAATGGAACTGCAGTGCCTGCTCGTGGCAGCATCTTTTGGCCAGTGGCTGAACAGGTCTGAAAACCCTCACACTAAATCTGGGAGGATGTTGCCCAAGTGAGCATTAACTGTGTAAGGACTGCTGAAATCTCCTGGGCAAGCACAGGGCTTTGGGCTGAGTTTATTCCCTTTTTTTTCCTACCCTCTGTTCTTAGCTGAGCTTGAACACTGAGACTTGTTGGACTGTACCTTGTCCAGACTGAAGCTCTGGGCCTCTTGCCTTTCTGGTTCTTCCTCTTTTAACCCCCTGGCACTGCTGGTGCAGATGACAACACTGACAGCTTGTCCTCACAGATCTGAAGACCAACTCAGGAGCAGCTTGAACACTGAGACTTGTTGGACTGTACCTTGTCCAGACTGAAGCTCTGGGCCTCTTGTATTCCTGGTTCTTCCTCTTTTAACCCCCTGGCACTGCTGGTGCAGATGACAACACTGACAGCTTGTCCTCACAGGGACAGATCTGAAGACCAGCTCAGGAGCAAAAGTGTTTAACTCACCCTAAGGACTTTTGGAGGGTTTATCTCCCAGTTGTGCTTTTAGAAAATACCCTGTTAGGGGTTTTTAAGCTTTAATAAGGGGTCAGGTAAATCTGTGGGTAGAGGATGAATTAACACCATTATGTAAGACCTGCTTAGAGTGAGTATTTGGAAAGCTGAGTATCCCATCAGAAGTGTTGAGCTGTATGTTTTTTCTTCATGGAGTTTTACTCAGTGTTTCCATCTGAGCAGTTTAATTATCTCTCCAGCCTATTTTGATCTTCTCTTCCATGAGAGGAAAAGAAAAACATCCCTCCTGAGGAGTTCTTGGAATTGCTAACCTCCTCCTCCTGATTTTTGCCTCTTCCACCAGACATACTTTCCAGAGCTTGTTAAAATTCATTTTCCCTTGTATTGTTTGAAAGGCAGCAGGAAAAGCTCAAAGGTTGCCCTGTCCCTCTAATCCTATTAAAGCTGGCATTTCCTAAAAGAGGAAGGACTTCTCCAAAGACAGACACTAACCTTTCTACTGTGTTTATTTTTATTCTCCCCTTGCTGCAGATGCTGGAAGGTAGGTGTTTGGCAGGGAAAACTGCACAATCCTCATTCTTTGAAAGCCCTTCCTCACCCCATTTGTCTTGTCACACTGTCTGAGTCCCTCCAAATCATCTCAGAGAGGCTGTGAAGTCAGGGAAGCGTTGCCATGTGAGGGCTGAGGAACTGAAAGATGACAGAGAGGCTACTTCAAGCTTTGTAGGCACCAAAGTCCTACCTGAGTGTCTGGATTTAAGCTGCCTAAATACCTCCAAAAACTTGCCTCTGGGTAAGCTGCTCTTGGCTATGACAGAGAGAGCTGGTGGTGCATCAAGAAATCAGCCACTGCTCTTATCCCAGGCCAGTGGCCTAATAACAGGCTGGGGTTTTTTCCTAGAAATAGGGAACTGTGTGTGGCTGTTTCTATGCTGTGTCACCACACATGAAGAGCCCTTGCCTAGCAGATCTCTTTGACCCAGCTGTGGTAGGTGGGAAAGTCAGTTTGGTGTTGGTTCCCCAGCCCAGCAGCAAATGTCAGCGTGGTTATTGAGTGGTGCTTGAAGGGAGTAACTGGATTTAACTTCCTACCTCAGCTCAGTTTCAAGCCGTGGCAGAAAGATGACCTTTAAGCAGCCAAGCTGGTTAAATTGCTGCACAGAGGGAAGCTGTAAACAGCTCACTGGCTCTGGTGGAGTCACAGCTGTCCATGTATCTGCTTGGGGTGGAAAAGGAGCAGCAAATCTGGCTGGGTTTGGCACAGCGAGAGGTTTGCATTTTGAAATGGGGGATGGAGTTCATGGGACTAAATGGCATGGCAGAAATAAAAGGGGTGCAGCTGCTGGGGTAGAGTTTAGAGATAAACTATATTCTTTTCTACACCACCCTGCTTCTGGATGTGCAGCAAAGGTCTGAGCCAGCAGAGTGCTTTTGTTCTGGCCAAGCTGCCCTCCAGACTATTGGCTTTATGTTGGACTTACGTATCGATGATGCTGTTAATTATGGCATTAAACTCATTACAGAGTAATGATTAACCACTGTTAATGACTTCCAGCTAAATATTTGCCATGTTGAGTGTGTTAGGGAGACCATGAAACGGTTTCCAAGCAGACTCTGGGGCAGAGATTAACGTGCTGGGAAGGAGGAGGGAAACTCTTCAGGCTGGGAAGGGCTTGGGAAGAAAATTCCTGTTCTGAAGCTGCAGTGGGGCAGGAGAAAATCACTCAGGCATGAAACACAGCAGAGGGAGAGGCAGCAACACCTGAATGCCAAGTGGAGCCCAACTGTGATTAAATATGCTGAGAATTATGACAACATCTTCCTCTGTTTAGCCTTGATCCCACTTGTGATCTTGCTGTAAAGAGGGAACTGGGAGGGACTTGCAAAGCTGTTGGGTTTTTAAGTGGCTTCCCTCTGAACACAGTGGCACCTCAGATGAAGTGTTGCTCCTCTCAGAGTGTGTGTGGGGCAGACTGGGAGGGAAGGGATGGAAGAGCACCATGAATCCTCAACCAGAGCAGACAGGGGGGGGCTCTGCCCCAGCAGCAATGGGCTGGACAGACCCTTTCTGCCTGGGTGCTGGTGTGATGCTCCAGTGTCCCTTGGCCAACTCTGGGATTTTGCCTTCTGTGCTTTCTTCAGGGTCAGGAGCTGACTATCCGTCAGATGGCTCTTCTTGGCTTCAGGGACTTGGTCTTGCTGAAAGTGAAGTTGGAAGACATCCTTCCTCTGGTCCAGACAAAGCTCCCAGCTTCCATTGTCCAGATGCTCTTGATTCTGCAGGTGGGCAGCTCCTGGGCATCTTCATCTGACTCCACTTGGGTATCTCCACCTCCCTGAGCTGATAGAGGCTCTGGAAAGCAGAGTGGGGAGGGCAGAGGGTGTGCTGAAGAAGTTGTGTGCTCATTTGGGAGCAGTAAATCTAGAGAGAAGAGCTGAGTTTTAACTGACCTGAGGTCTCCTGGGAACAGGTAGGGATGTGGCCATGCAAGGGCACCTTGGTATGTCATCTCCCCACCTAGGAAGGTTCTTTTTTCACATCCTTCATCTCCCAGCTTCTCTGAATGCCTTTTTGGGCCCCAGTTCTGGTTTCTCAGCTTGGCAATGAGAGAGATTCTCCACCACAGTGGTCTGTGGAGTTTGGAGAAGCTGTAGCTGCCCCAGGCCAGCACCTTGGCTGGCTGGGCTGCTGAGCAGTGCCCACCAGCAGAGGAGGAAAACCTTTTGGCAGCAGGCAAGATGCTATACACCTTCCAAAGGCCTCTCCCAAGAGACCCAGACCTGCTGTGAGGACTGTCCCCTTTGTCCAGACCTCAAAAGAATGCTTTTTCCAGGCATGCCCAATGCAGCCAAGCACACCAACTCTTTTATCTTTATATGGCCCAGCTTGACAGTCCTGCAGGACACCATGTGAGAGGTGGCTCTTTGGATTCCTCTCACTTCTAAGGTAGATTGGAGAAGAAACATGATGAGTGGTGGGGAATGAAACTTTCTGGAGCTCTATCAAACCTGTGAAGCAGCTAAGCTGGTATTTGTGTGAGCTCCCACTGATGCAGAGTGTAACAGCAGGAGATGCTGAAAGTTAGCTCCATTTCCCTCAGATATTTTAGTAAAGGAATCCTGAGGGCAAAGAGGGTCTTGGAGCAACCCCTCTGAGAGAGAAAAATTCACTGGGGCTGGTCAGGAAGTCAGGTCTGTAAATGGTTCTATTTATTGGTGGTTATAATTGCAGATCCTCAGCCTTGATCATACCTTGTACCTTCCTAAAACTCACTGGGGCTGGTCAGGAAGTCAGGTCTGTCAATGGTTTTCCACAGTGATCTAATTCCCTGGTGGAATTAGATCACTGTGGTTCTATTTATTGGTGGTTATAGTTGCAGATCCTCAGCCTTGATCATACCTTGTACCTTCCTATGCCTTGGGCAGGAACAGAAGGACATCTAGCTACTCAATGTCCACAGGGTTATGGCTGTGACTTGGCCAGAGAGGTTGACCTGAGTGGCCCCTGAACCTCCATTTGGGCTTATTGGCTGTCCTCCTCCCCATGCTCCACTGCAGAGATAGGACAGACCCCAGGCTTTACTCAAAAAACCTTACTCACAACTCCCTCAGAGTAATTTAGACTCTTTATTCTTGAATTTCAGAGTGTCCACGAGCCTACAGGCCCCAGTGAGGGCTACCTCCAGCTGGAAGAGCTAGTCAAGCAGGTGGTATCACCATACTTGGGGCTGTGTGAGGACCACAGCTTCCCTGGGAGCTCCTGCTTGCTGGGTAAGATGTGCAGCAGACAGAGGCTCCTCTTGGGTTGGTTAGTGTGAGGCAGTGCACATCTCTGCTGGGAAAGGAGACTGGCTGACTCCATGAGAGACAGGAAACAAAGCCTAAAACACCCTCCAGATGGTCCTGATACATTTTGGAACACAGAATTTTGTGATGGGGCTTTTGTCACCCTGGTAAGAGACTGCACATGAGCTTTTGCTTCCTGCTCTCCAGCCAGCTTTGGTTCCCAACCAGCCTTCCCAACCAGCACAAGTCTTGGATGCTTGAGGAGGGATTAGAGGGTTTCTTTTGTGGAGTCTTCCTTCCATCTAAGGACTCTGTTTTAAAAAAAATAAGATTAAAAAGTAAAAAAAATGTGTGGTTAAACTGAATAAATGGGTGAAGGTGAAAGAACTTCTCCATGTGACCAGCCAGAAGAGGTTGGCTAGCTAAGGGATGGGTGTGGGGATGGTTTGAGGGGTAGCTGCCTGACCTGTACTGAAATTTTGAACCATCCTGGATTTCTGCCAGCTGAAAAAGGCATTTAGTGCCATTATAAAAAAAAAAAAATCACATAAACTGGCCTTGTAAAATTTCTGTGCCCTCAAATCATGGTATTTACTTTGATTTTAGCTGTGCTTTATTCATGTTCCTATCCAAGGTGGCCTTTTGCCCTTGCTCCACCCCGTGCTGACTGGGAGAAGGGAAGGAACGTGTGGGTTTTATTACAGGAGGGTGAGGGCAGAGCAGCACGTTCCTGCAGAGCATCTTGGTGTTGTCAGAGTGCTGCTGTGCCTTTTCCTTCATTTCTTGTCTTTTCCTGAACTCCCACTTCTCACAAAGGGGGTTGGTAGAGGACATTCTCCCCCCTTATTGCTCTTGTCACCACCCTTCTTGCTTTGCCCACTTCTGATTTGAGTTTGCCTGCCAAAAGTGCCTTAAAAACACCTCCCAGTTTGTGTTCCTGGCTGTAACACCCCAAAAGAGAAATAAAACTTCAAGTTGAACTATGCATGGCAGCTCCCTTTAGAGACTGTGTTTGGTGGCCAAGGAAGTGAAGGGGGAAAAGTAAAGCACTAAAGGAATATTCAGACTTTAACCTAGTTGTTGCCCAATTCTCCTCATAAAAGAGTTGAATTTTATTGCTCAGAAATAAGCTGGGGATATTTTTTTTTCCCCAAAAGAGCAAGGTCTCAACGCCCTCCAATATTACAGCCTGCTGTGGCTCGAGCTGCAGATGACACCTAGAGAATATTCACCCTAATTGGCCTCAAAAATTAATTGCACATACTCTTATGAACGATTTTGGATACGTGTATTGCTGGCAGCAGTGGATGAAGGGTGGGCACAGCCTGGCTGCTGCCAGTGGTGGAGTTTTGGCTGCTCACCCATTCCTCCCTGCAACAATACAGTTTGTTTTCTGCTTTATCTTTCTGATGCAAGCTTCCAAAACTCTTTTTTATAACCCTCAGTGAGGAGTGTTTTGCTCTGCATTTGGTGATGCTCCCTCTTAGGCTCTGCAGTCTCAGGGGAAATATTTTCTGTGGTTTAAAGGCTTCTGACTGTAGGAAATGAGACCTGGCCCTTCAAGGGATCTGTTGAGGATCAGAGAGGTGGGGAATAGCTGCAGCTCAGGTCCTTGCTCACTGTTTCTCTGGGGACTGGTGCCACTTTGGTGTCACTGATTTTGGTGAGAGCTCCTACTCGGTCCTCACCACCCTGGGCAAGAGAGGAGACCCTCATGGTGCTGAAGAGAGTCCCTTTGCTGCACTCGTTTCCCTTGGGCTCTCTTCTCTCACAGGATGGGAGACATCCCCTAGCTGGGGGAGAGACAGATCCCCTCCCCAACCCCCAGCAGCAGCAGCTGGGTGCCCTGTTCCCCGAGGCCAGCCTGGCGCTCGGGGCGATGCTTTGCCCGCGCCCCCTCGACTCTTCCTTCTTCCTTTTTCCCTTCCAGAGAGAAGATACTCCAGGTCCTGGTGCAAGCCTGGGGTGCTGACCTACCCCTCCCAGGTGGTGGGCAGCCGGCAGCCCAGCGAGCTGGCCCTGAGCCCTCTGGCAGAGCAGGAGGGGGAGGCAAGTGCGGCAGCATCCGTCGCCACACGGTGGCCAACGCTCACTCGGACCTTCAGCTCCTGGCCATGGCCTCCAGGATGCACACGGGGATGGTGGTGGAGGAGCAGGACAGCACCGACCAGTGCCTCCTCCTCCAGCCCAGTTTGAACCACAGGCAGTGCTCCAGCGAGCCCAGTATAGCCGAGGGGCCGGAGGCGGGCACGGCAGCCGGCAGGGAGGAGCCCGCGGAGCTGAGCTGCACCTCGGTCAGCTAGGACAGGTCCTGCTCCAGAGGGGAGAACTGTCATCCCTGCTGGGGGAAAAGGAGAGAAACTCCAGCCTGGCTTTGACATGGCCTCGTGGGATCTGCTCTCTCGTGGGGAAAGCTCTCTAGACTGTGGTTTCTGGCCTGTCTGGAGTCGGTGTTGGAGGTACCAGGCTGCTCCCCGAGGAGCCACGCAGGTTTTGCTGTTACACAGACCACCTTCTGCAAGCTCTTCCTCTGCCAGTCCAGAGCCTTTGGCCTCAGGTGTCCTTCCACAAACCAGCCTCTTCCTACTTTTCCCCTTCCTGCCCAGCATCCTGCTGCTGGTGTGCTCTTTGTTCCTGCAGCAGGGAGCTCTGTGCTGCATGTCCTGGGGTGGTGGTGGCTGAGGGCTGCGTGTTTCTCCTCCAGAGCTGAACTCAGGGATGAAACCATTTGTATCCTGCAGAGAGACCTGCTCAGGTGGCTGGTGAGAAAAGGAGATCCCTCACTTCGCTTCCCATGGGCATGGATGAAAATCCCAATCCAAACAAAAACAGTTTGGTTTGGTTTGGGGTTTATTTTTCCCCCCAGAACTGAAGAGGACTGAGTGAGTCCCAGCTGAGTACTTCATATGTGCCTTATCTGATGGCAGTCAGACCTTTAGGGGTGCTGGTGTAAACTGGGTGCAGAAGATAACCCTGAGCAGCCTGGCTTTGGGCATCCACTCTCAAAGTTTCAATGGTGGTAGGACTACAAGGAAAGGAGAAATCTAAATTCCTTTGGGAAGAGGATGCTGGGCAGAGGCTGCACTTGTGCAGGAGACCTAAAGGTGCTTCTCAACGCTGGGCTGTCGTGGTTCCAGGCAGGAGGTGACAAACAGGATTTCACCCTTGGGCTGCTGGGGTACTTTTAGCACTGGTAGTTTTTGTGAGACCAAAGAGAAGCTGTGGGGTGTAGGGAGGAGTCTTGTCTTGGGAGTGTATTCTTGGAGCACTCCTGACCTCCAGTGGTGTCTGACTCAGTGCAGTGTTGCTGTCAAGATGGAGCAAGGGCTCTGTGCAGGCTTGGGGTTTGATTTTTATCTTGGAGATGAGGAGCAGGTCTGGTTGGAGAGGGTCTCTGGCAGGCACTGCAGTGTCTCCTTTGTAGCATCACCTGGAACTCCACTGCTGCTTCTGTGGGAGGAGAACTGAGCTGTGCAGGCAGGCCCCTGGGGTGCTCTGGGCAGATTTGCAAGTGGAATGACAAGCTTAGAGGTGAACTGGAATGCTGCCTTAAAATGTCAAACCCCATAAAAACAGGGGTAGAACACCACCACCACTTGAATCCAGTCCCTGTGGTCATGTAAATCTGGTAAATAAACCTGTCTTGACAAGGAAAGAGAAGGTTAGGAGGAGCCTTCAGGATGGTTTTTGTGTGCTGTGATGTTAGCAGCAGAATTTACCCCACTTCTCCACTTCTCCACTGGCTGGTTCCAGGATAAATTGCCCTCCTAGTCATAACTAAGCTGGGCTAGTGAGTCCAAGTTGTTGTCACCTGCCCTGGGGTGGCCACAGATTGTGGAGGAGCTTCAGAGTGTCTGTGGGGACAGCCAAGGGCTCACCTTGGCACGGTCCCTCCAGCACGGGGCAGCTGGTGGCACCCTGCTCCCAAGGGATCCCTGTGGCCCCCTGCAGTGAGTTAAAACTTTCTCTTTAGAGAGAAGGAAGCAAACTTTACAAGTGTTCTTATAGAACGTGAGTAGCTGTTGCCTGTGACACTTTCCTGGAGAACCACAGTGGGGCAGAGAGCTGGGAAGAGCCTGAAGAACTTTGGTGAGGTATCACTTGCCTGCAGACTAGGACTGCATTTGGTCTTAAGCATATTCTGAGGCAGATGGTAGGAAGAGAATTCTTTCAAAATGCTGATTATTAAAAGTCAGACCCTTTAGAAATCTAGAAAATGTGGTTGCAAGTGGAGAAGCAACCAAAAAATTGCTATAATTTTGTCAGACATCATCCATTGAGATTTCTTGATTTTCATTTTCCAGACTTCTGTCAAATTCCAATACAATATAAATCTTTCTTTCAGTAAAGAAAAAATTGAACACTTTGCTTGGGCTGGGAGAGGAGGAGGGGCTGGGTTTTGTTTTATTTTAAATTTTTTTTCTTATTTTAAAAGAAATGTGGGTTTAGGTTCTTTTCTTTTTTCCTCCAAGCAGTCCTTCAAGCCATGGTAATATTAAAAGGTTTTCAATAGCTGCTTGTTACCAGTCAGGAAAGAGAAATAACCCATTGTCTGTTGATGTCTTTTCAAGCCAGAAAGGAAACTGTGATAGAGACAAGAATTAGTGTCAAAGGGTTTGAAAATAGAGAGTGAATCCCCCTGTGAAGCTGTTAATGGTACTTCTAACCTTGGGCAATGCTGCTCCTGGTGTAGCCAGGAGAAAGGGAAAGGGCTGTTCTCACCTTCCTCATCACCCAGTCCCCATGTTTGTTAAACTAGAGCCATCTACCTGTCCCTGAGTGCTACCTGATGATGCCCTTAATGATCCAGTGCTTGCATTGAAGGTTACACTGCCAGCAGCAGCACGTGGCAACTTCTTTATTGTTAAATTATTTGTGTAATAGCAATGCTGAGCAAGGTAGAACAATCTTGGTCAGTGCTACGTGCCTGGATTTCATGTACAACTTTTGATTTTTTTAGGGAGAAAAGAAAAGAAGTCATTTTTTTTCAGGGACATTGTTTTATTCAGAGACTAAATTTTGATGCTGCAGGTTGTCTCATGTGAGTTGTTTGCCTGAAGAGCTGTTTAATGAGTCAATATAATCTGTAAACCTCCTTCAGGAGTTCTGTGTCATGTTAAAGGCTTTGTTATAACCCCACACAAGCTGTCTCAGTTTTTTCAGAGGCCATGAAATAGATTGCTCTCCACCTTAAAGCCATGGCAGCATTAAATATTTGTGTGTTGCTTGTCTGGAATCAGATCTGGAGAAGTCACAGAAAATAAGGAAGTTTGGTTCTTCAGTCCCCTGAATTTCATTGTGGAAATTTTATCATTTCCCCTGGATGAATGGTAAATTCATTTCCATTATAAGCATATAAAAAATAATAAAACATGTGAATTGGCTTGATCTGCTTGAAAGGGTTTGTGGATTATTGCTCCCTGCCCCATGAGGGACTTCTTGTCAGCTCACTGACCATGGGAACGTTGGCACAGCACGTCTGGGAGCAGCTGGAGGTGACTGTTGGTGTTCCACTGGTGTTGGTGTCCCACGGGAGTCTGAGTCGTGCACAGCCAGTGAATAAATGGTCAGATTTTCTTTCTCAGTTGCTGGCAATACACTGAACAGGCTGGTGCTCCAACAGTGAGGACAACATGGACATTCTATTGCTGGAAACAATGTCAAATGCTTCAAAAATACAATTTATGAAAGTATTAAGTTCTAGATCACCTCCTTTCCAGCCCACACTCAGAGTAATCCTGAAGGAGGGTTGTCCTATGGATGATGTCCTCAGCCAGGTAAGAAGGTCCCTCCTGATGGGTTTTCACCCTGGGCCTGGCCAGCCTCGGGTGGGGACTGCTGAGGAGATGACCACCAGGTTGCCCCCACCTTCCACATCAACTTGGAGGTGGGGCCAGCAGCCTCCTCTGTAAAAAGCCAACTCTGCTGCCAGTGGGGTTGGGAGCTTTGAGGGGTTCTGGTTCTTCAGAGAGCTCTCAGACTCCTCATGGGGAGTCTTCTCCCTTCTTCTTTCACTTCTCTCTCCTCTCCTTTTTCTCATCTCCCTTCTCTTCTCCCCCTTTCCCATGTCCCTTCCTCTTCTCTTTCTCATCTTCCTCCTCCTCTCCCCTCTTTTCTTTCCTCTCCACTCTTCTCCTCTTTTCCCTCTGCCTCCTCTTCTCATCCCCCCCTTCCCCCTCTCCTCTTTCCTTTACTATGTCTCTTCCTCTTCTCCTTTCCTCCCTCTTTCCCCCTCCTTCCTCTTCTGTTTCTCCTCTCTGCTTTCCCCTGTCCCTACTCTTGTTTCTGCCCTCTTCTCCTCTTCCCCCCCTTCCCCTCTCCTCTTCTTTCCTCTCTCCCTCCCCTCTCCTCTCTTTCCCCCCCTTTCTCCTCTCCCCTCCTCTTCTTTCCCATCTCCCCATCTCTACTTCCCCTCTCTCCTCTTCTTTCTTTTCTGCTCCTCTTCTCTTCCCCCCTTTTCCCTCTCCCCTCCTCTTTCTCCTGCCCCTTCCTCTTCTCTTTCCTGTCTT